GAAATAAATCTGGTATTTCCGCGCACTCATGTATTATTCTCTATGTAATATATGACCAGTTGGGATATTTAATTATTTTGTACTTTTCAGATTTGGCTTAAAAAGTGTCTGAATTGTTGTCTCACCTTAAGTAATTTATTCTACTAATGAGACATTTGCAGTATCGTATAATTGTGTTGCTGATTTTAGTCTGTGTGATGTCGTCATAATAAGATTTTATCACATCAGTTGTTCTGTGGTGAAGACTGAGCACGCTGAGCATACATGGTAACAACAAATGTCGTAATAGCGATGTCGGAAATTATTAGAAAATTGATATTAAAGTGGCAGCTAACAGGAATAATGTTTACATTTCAGTAGGGGGTAGGAAATGCTTCTGTTTTGGCTTCCCTTATTAGCTACACGATCGATCTGCACGATATCATCAATACGCTCAGGCTTGAGTGTGGTGGCTTATTTGAGAATATTACATTTGTACGAGGGCTTACCACTTATCGCTTACCACGAAAGTATGAATATCTTACCAAGAAAGTATGCATTTTAGAATCTGATCGCTGCCCCTTAATTCATATAGGCAAAACAGGGCAAATTACGACGTCTAGCAAACGTGTTTTTACAAAATCGGGTTTGAAATAATTTCTAAGTTTTCCCTACTTACGTAACTTCTTTGGGCTGAAGTTGATATGCACTCGTGGCCTGGTGATGAGCACGAAGCATATATATAGGAGTAAACCTCTAACTTTTAGACTTAGGCCCTGTCCTAATAGGGCCTAAGTCTGAAAGACGTTTACTTTATCTTTTTTGCAACATAATTAGAGAACTCAGAATGACATGGCTTATTATTAATAAGTCATGATCTATTTAATAGCCGTAACCCACTCAAACGTCTTATTTGAAATTGATGAACGTGATCGGATTTGAACTCGTATTGAATTCCCGTACAATTGGCATAAAATTGATAAAAAAAGTGTTTCTGTAAATGTTGTTTTAACACCAATATATTGCATTCAAGAGGTCGGCAAAACATAAAACACCACTTCGAAGAACACTTAAAGTATGATTAATCTCGAGCAAACGTCAGTTCTCTCTCAGGAATACCGTATTTGGAAGTGTGAGGAGAATATCGAAACAGCCACTTGAGACAAGTCAAATACCAGACGCATCCTTCTTATTTTTGTCCAAAATGACTAAACAGACCAAATTTGATAAAAATAGGTACGTACGAATACGCATGTATCGCCTCTGCAATAAAACATTTGTATATACATTAATTATATTGGCCACGTTGAATATGCCGGTGAATGTGTGAGAAAAGTCCTTTTTGTTTGGCTTCTGGGGATGACCCACGTCTCTGTGGGTACACCGGTCTCCTGCCGATTGCCTATATACCTGACTTAGCTGGCCCTACTAAACATTTTAGAAAGGATAGAAGTATTCATAATCAGTTAGTTTAGCATAAGATTAACAAGTTTTAAAAGTATAATGAACAGTTATTTGATGAGGTTTTTGAGATATCCAAAATGATAAGTGCATGAAGGCGAGACCTTGATAATTCAGCATATCACAAAAACGGAATTCAATAACTGTTTTATTATACACATTGCACCTATACATAACTCAGTTTTCTGCCGGCAGATAACACTGTTGTTTGTGTAGGTCGCGTGATTTCCATATTTAGCTGTAAGCTACTGGCCAATCAGAGGACACATAGTGACTACAATGTATATTAAATTAAGATAAACTGTAGCCTAAAATCAAAATGTAATTTAAATGGTCAGTTTGACCATTTACTGTTTTCACATATACTTTTCGTGCTCAATTGCACTGTTTGTGTCCAAATTCCTACTACTATGAATTCTTAATGAATGAAAAAACATATTTTTGTCTAGAAAAAGAATCGCTCAAGGTCAAACTATAAATGCTCGCCAAGGATGGAAGGACAGTTTCGATATATATCAGACAGTTTTCAGTTCTGTCAATCAAAATCATGGACACCTATAATGAACGTCTTCAACTTTCCAGGAAGTAAAGACACTGTGCCTACTTCCTGTCTCGATGCGAAGTTGAAAGGTATGGATAAAGAAAAGGGGAATGGATTTTACTGGATCAATCCCACCGGAATGGCAGACGCTAAGAACGCATTTGTTGCATACTGTGATATGGCAAGCGCTGGGGGTGGTTGGATGTTGGCTGCGAAGATAACCCATGATTTTGCTTGGATTTGTCCTGAGCGCAAAGGAAAGAATTGTTTTAATTCTAACATAGATCCACTTCGAGCAAATTTATTTCATTCCTCACATGCGAGGGATTTTATTGATCTGAGAATTACGCAGGATGAAAATTCTGGAGTTCATCTTACGAAGAGACTGATTAGAAAGATTTTTGAAAGTAAGTTTGGTATTACGGTGCTGTTTCGTTTATATTGTGTTGTTTTTGCTTTTGTTTGTTTACGTCGTCGTCTCCACCGTCGTGGTTGTTGTTGCAGGTGTTGGTGGTGGTGGTGGTATTGCTAGTGTTGTTGTTGTTGTTGTTGGTGGTGGTGGTGGTGTTGTTGGTGGTGTTGCTGGTGGCTTGGTGTTGTTGTAAGGCATATTTTAAGGAATTTACAGTGGTGCGCCAAAATTTACGGTAGGGCCCCCGCGTCCCGCCCCCTGCCGGCTGCCGGTCCAGCCCTGAGTATTGAATATTTGTGTAGTAATCGTGTTAAAATGCTTCCTGAACTTATTGAGTATTACAGTGTCACATTCAACTCATACTTATTATTTCTAGTTTTTACACTACAGAGGGGTACTCCGCTAACTTCGGTACTGGCGTACTGGGGTATCATGCCATCAAGGGCATGGGTGACAAACCCCAGTTCTGAGTTCGCCGCACTAACAGATGCAATTGATCTGACTAAAAATACAAAAAATACTGAAATGATTGTAAATGAAATGCAGTGTTGAAAGTGTTCCAGTTCCACTCTGGCACCTCCACTAAAGTGACTAAACAGAAGTAATTTACAAACATCCACTTGATTCCCTATAAAATTTTCTCATATATACTCTCTATCCTTAAAAAGTTCTGTGTCAGGTTGGGAACTTCTTCTGATTTTTCGTTTTAGAAATTCTGCTACTGCCTCCCTTGGATCGAACAGAGCAGTTCCTTTCCCATTCAGTGAAATTTGTAAAACATTGTTTATTGTTGTCTGTTTTAGACAAGCTCTGTCTTCTGTTTTTACTCTGTTGTAGTGAGAAACAACACGCTCAGTCGCCATAGTGCCATACTGTGCGGTGTAACCAGGGGCGAAACTTGAGGGGGGTATGGGGGGTGTTACACCCCCCAAAATACGAATCATCCCGATTGGCAGGGCAATCAAAGGTCTCTTATAAATAAATGATAGCACATAGGCGTACCGGGCGGGGGCAATATTCGATCAACAGTCGGGCAATTTTGGTTTGAAAAAAAAAATGGGACAAATTCAGTCAATTTTGTCTAAAATTAAGTGAATTTTTTCGCAAATTGTGTGATTTTTCAAAAATTTGTGTTATGTTCCGAAAAATATAGGTTGTCCGGAAAATTTTTTTGACCCCTAAAATGGTACACAGACCGAAATTTTTTTGGCGACGGGGGGGGGAGGTCGCCAAAATAATTTTTCCGGAAACATTTTTTTGGTACTTTTGGGCAGGGCATCACTGGTTTTGGCAGGGCAATTCTGCCAGACACCCCCCTAATTAAAAGGGGCTAGTTTCGTCCCTGGGTGTAACAGCGAGAAATGATGCAAGGAGTGTTTTTAGAAGACCTTGGCTGACTTGAATCATTTTCCTTAATCTCACTGTCAAAACTGTACCTTGATCACTAGATTCAATATTCTGGATATTCTCAATTATATTATCAAACGATCTTTACCATCAGCACGAATACCTCTTGCCAAAGGCACTTGACCATTACTCGAAAATCCCCTAATATGTTCTTCGTGAGAAGCGCACACTAAACAAGTCACAGATGAACATTTGTTCGCTTCCAGCAGCCAATTGAGATTTTTTTGTTTTTGTACCAACCTTCAACTTCGTTCCGTTCATCGCTGGGCGTTTCGGACGTTTCCTCACCTGATGCCAGGTTTTTTAAATGACTTCAAAAACGTATGCATAATAAGTCAAATCTTTATATAAAAATCTTTATATAAAAATCTTTATATAAAAACCTTTATATAAAAATCTTTATATAGTTTGCATAACAATGGTCTTTTGTTAAAGTGTTCTTTAGCTGGTATAAAGACGTATGCACGTGACTAATTTCTTACTCAAGATTGGATAATTGCTTCATGAATTATTAATGAGTTTTTGAAATTTAAATAAAAATCGTGAAACATTGGTGACATGTGCCCCCAATACGTAATGTCAGCGGAAAAACATGGGTGTACTTTGTGTTCTGCACGTGTATAATTTGAAACAAAACCATTACTGCCGAATATAAATGCCATCAAGAAATTGAACGTTTATACTGACTAGCGTTTTAATAGCTTGTTTAAGGTAAATAATCTTATATTCTTGATGCTAAAATGTAAAGACTGAAGCTGCGGGGGCCCACACAGTGGTGGCCCAATACCCTGTGAGTGGTGGGCCACCAGTCTATTACTTAAAATATGCCTTGTGTTGTTGGTGTTTGGTGTTGGTGTTGGTATAAAGCGTTGGTGGTCTAATAGCTCTAAAATAATAACACGTTGTAGCAATCCAGGGACACAGTAGGCCTTTGGTGTTTATTTCACTAAGCTTTACACTTCGGACTTAATTTACAGTGAATCTTTATAATAAAGAGAAATGTATAAATAGAGAGATATTCATAAAAAGTTGAGGAAAGATTATAATTTCAAACACTCATTAATAATTAATAATTAATAATCAATAATTAGTAATTAATAATTAATAATAATAACACTTTATTTATTGAGGATAAACAGATAAAGTTCTCTTCAGATAAAGATCTGGTTCTCCTAAATTATATAGACACAACAACAATAACAATAACTAGGAGTATGAACAAACGAAATCATGGGTATAATTTAAGTATTAACCAGTACTACAATTCGGTTGTTCATACCTCCAGAAAGCCCCAATTTTCTAAATAAAATAAGCTAATAATAATAGTTCATAAGCTTATTGGCAAATCATGCATGTCAACCATAATATGTCACGTGAAGAGGCTATATACCTTAGGGGCTGTTCACACTAGCAATTTAGATCGATCAAAAAGCGGTCTCAGTCCGTATCGGGCCAAGTGTGGACAGCCCAAAACGAACCGAGATCGAATCGAGGTCGAATTAAACTAGACCACCTCGGGAGGTAGTCTCGGATCGGTTCGCGCATTTAGACCGAGCTAGTTTTGGTGCTTAGCTGCCTGGCAATTTTTCGCGCGTTTTTTCTCCAGAGTTTTGATC